TGGTGAAAATTTGAAGAAGAAGAAGAAGAATGAAGAATGAAAAAAAGCATTTCCCTTTATGTGATCAACTAAATCAGATTAGTGGAAGGTTAAAAGAAGCAATGGAAAGACAGAAGAAGTGAGATTCAGCTGACTACCGTAATTGGAAACACTAAAAATACTGTGAGTGTAAAATATTCACATGCTGTCTTTATGCTTTGTTTTTTTTTTCTCTCTCTTACATTTATCATCAACCTGTCGCTCTTTTTTTTTTTTTTCATTTTTTTTATTCCGACTGAAGAATCTTTTATTTGGGTTGAAAAGAAGAAAGAAACCATTGTTTTGTAGTTGTTTTAAACTTAAAATAGAACCTTATTTTGTTTAAAAGAATGAATGGTAATAAAATATATGCCAGCAAAGGAGATGATGTTATAGTCATTCATCTAATGAATAGGTTTCTAGTAGTCGATTAGATTTGAAGAATAAATGACGTAATCGAACGGTACTATGGAAGGGTGAAATAGAAAAGGGGAAAAAAAAAAGCAGGAATTGATTTCTACAGCATTTTAAAAGGGATTTTTTTGGTTGTTGCTATTGTTTTTATCATTATTGTTCTTGTTACTATTTGCTTCTGCTGTTGCCGACGACGGTGACAATAATGATAATGAAGATGGTGATAATGATGCTAGTTTTTTCACTTTAAATTTTGCTCGATTAGTATTTAAGGCGAACAAAGGACAGGGGGAAGCTAAATTAGATTAAGTGTTCTTTAAAAGAAGAATTTTTTCCAGTTAAATTGGCAAACGGAAAGGTGAAGGAAGAAAAAGGAACAAGAAAAGAAAAGAAACTTTTTGTTGAATAGCTAAACTTTTCCTTGTTATTCATGAGTTTTGCCTATGCATATATATTCTGTTCTCAGTCTTATGACACTGATTAGTCGACTGCAAAATTGGTCAATTGAACAGTTTAAGTTTTATAGACGACGAGAAAGACTAAAGGTGAAGAGACAGGGAAGAATTGGCTAAGCAGACGGAGAGTATTGGCTTCATCAGAATTGGCAAGAAAAAAAAAAAGTTCTTGATTATGTACTTCTGAACTTGAACTTTAGTTGTCCGTATATATTTTTTTTTGTTTCGAGAAGGGTTGTTTTTTTTTTCCAATTTTTATTCTTAGCCAACGATTCAGATGTATTCCATATGTGGAGCAAATTGCTTTTAATGATTAAAACAATCTCTGTTAAGCGCATAGACAAAGATTGTGCAATTAAGCAGATATATATAAGTTTTTTTTTT